CCACAGATGCTTTAGTTCACAATACATGAGTAATGCCTCCCTACTCCTGGAGCCTCTGACCTCTCTGAGTGATGAAGAGCGTGGGTAGAGGAGAAAAATGAAGAGGCATTCGTGTGTATGTGTGAGTGAGGGGACAACTCAAGGGCATGTAATACCATGCTGAGCCGGGTACCAGTGAGAGAGGGGATTAATTCACATGGCCGTGACGTCCTGATGCCACACACACACACACACACACACACACACACACACACACACACACACACACACACACACACACACACACACACACACACACAAGGCATGCTAAGTTAAACTGAGCTGCCCTCTACTGTTCAGAGAGGAGTGTACATTTTTAAACTTATGATTATTGTGGCCATTAAACATCATGATTAAAATGTTATCGCGATAATTATGAAATATCTTGAATTGCTTGTCATCATCCACTTCTGAAGTATAAGATTTTCCACATCACCAGCCATGTGATTTAAACTTAAAAGAAGATATTGGGTTGTAATATTTTTATTTTTCTATATTTTTTTCTGTCCTTTATTTGGTTGTTTTATTTCCAGCATTATACAGCCATCTTTTTGTTTTGAAATAGAGGAGACCCGGGATAGTTGTAACACAGGCAGAGTTGTAACAGGACCATTTCCACTAGTCAGAGATGACATAGTCATGGGTCCCATGATCATTTCAGTGTTGACCCACTCCGTCTGTAATGTCACATGTTGATTTTTTAAAATGATTTTCAGAGGATTGATTTTTTTATTCTTTTATAGAGATATATGTGTTGCAACTGTCCCCAGTCTCCCCTATAATGCTTCTGGTAGTTTGTAAGTTTCATTAGAAAAGTTTAAGGACTAGTTAGAAAGTTGATCAGAATCAAGCATGAAACACATTGGAGGCTCCTGAGGTTAAGAAAAAGGCAGCTGAGGGATTAAGAGTCAGTTTGTCATACATGATGGTCCAGGATGTTTATGCCTTGAAGTGGCAGAGTGATATTCAGAGATGTTTACACAGTTTTAAATATATTTATATTTATATCATTTTTATAACGGTCCCAACTGTTGATGCTTGGGGGAGGAGTATTCAGAGAAGAGATGTTATAATTTATTGATTGCGATTTGAAAACAGAAGAAAGAAAACTGCCATACACACACACACACACGTATATATATGTATATATATATATATATATATATATATATACGGATAGAAATGATTATGTCATGATAACACATGATAACGCTTCTCCTGTACCTCATCTCCTGATCTTACCAGCAGATTGCACAATGCAGGCTGATGTTTTGCAGAATTTGCAGAGTTTCAAGTCAACATGCACCTGTTTCAGTTATTTTCCGGCAGAAGTTGTTGTTTTTCCTGGGGAAAAAACCCAGTTTCAACCTTTGTGTCGAACAGAAAGTTCATGGTGCCAAGAAAAAAAAAACATTGTCCATGTAGCCTCCATTAAAGGGATAATCCAGCGTAAAATTAATTTAGGGTCAAACATACTGTAACACCAAGTTTGACACCCCCTTGAGCAGGGGTGGGCAATCATGTGCCATGGAGGGCCGAGAGGCTGCAGGTTTTCTTTCCAGCCCAAAACTCCACCAGGTGATTTCACTGATTACCTTACCTCCAAGCAGGGAGCAGAGACTAATCAGTGAAATCACCTGGTGGAGTTTTGGGCTGGAAAGAAAACCTGCAGCCTCTCGGCCCTCCATGGCACATGATTGCCCACCCCTGCCCTTGAAAGATGAATGTTGCCAACTGCTTGCTTCTTTAATTTAACCAACTTGAGTAATGACCACACCATAGCAATACACAGCGGTCTGAGGAGCCAGCACAAACCTCAATCAAATCACCACTCTATAGCCACAAATAATGCTCAGAACAGCACCTAACTTCATCAACAGTACATATAGGGTCTCAGTCACAACACTATCCATAAAACTTCTTTTTAACTTTGCCTAATTTCTTTAGCAAAGAGACTAAACACAAATCACCCACTTTCCTCCAGAAGCCACTTGTTTGTAGTGAGACCGCGGGTGAGTCCATTACGGACTGCTGCAGGCTGACGCAGCTCAAGGACGAACATTTATGATCATTATTTTATCATTTCCTTTAAGTAATAATTATCATAATAATCATTTTGCACTGCAGACGCGATAGTTCTTCTTCCTTAGCGTCTCAGTCTGATTGCGTTTTCATGAAGAAATGATCATAAATGTTCTTCCTTGAGCTGTGTCACCCCACAGCAGTCCGTAATGGACTCACCTGAGGTCTTGCTACAATCAAGCGGCTGGTGGAAGAGAGTGGGTGAGTTGTGTTTAGTCTCTTTGGTAAAAAAAAATTAGGCAAAGCTAAAAAGTTGTTTGGTGGATAGTGTTATGGCTGAGACCCTGTATGTACTGTTGATGAAGTTAGGTGCTGTTCTGAGCATTATTTGTGGCTACGAGTGGCTTTTTTTGGTTGAGGTTTGTGTGTGGTTCCATAGACCGCTGTGTATTGCTATCATGTGGTCGTTACTTAAGTTGGTAAAACTAGAGAAGCAAGTGGTCGGCAACATCCATCTCTCGAGGGGGTGTCTAACTCAGTGTTATGGTGTGTTTGACCCTAAATTGATTTTAAGCCGGAATATCCCTTTAAAGTTGACCATAGTTTTCATGTGCTGTGCACGAATTTTATATTTGTTCCATTTTTCCCACTTTTGGATGTTTGATTCTTGCTGGAGTCGTGAAGCATGTGTAAATTTCTCAATATTGTGTATTTCTTCCACCGTGTCCAGTCAGTTTTTCTGGGATCCTTCTTATACCAGTTCCTTATAATGGCCTTCTTCGGTGCTGCAAGATGCTGTTTTGCTCTTCTTGGAGATCTAATCTCTTCATTAAAATTATCTCTGATCTGTAGATACATAAACAAATCTTATTTGTCCAGTTCATACTCTCTTCTTAGTTTTAGAAAACTTTTGATTCTTCCCTTTCGATTATTTTATTAATTATCCTTATGCCTCTCTTTGCCCATTGTTTGCAGCATAAAAATATTCTTTAAGATTTGGCAGGGAACTTGACTTAACATGGTGTTAAGTACAAAATCACAAAGCAATGACTGCTAAGTTGTTTATTTGGCTCAGTCTTCCCACTCAGCAGCAAACATATGTATTCTCTCAAACTTTGTGGTAAAGTCAGTCACAGGTCATTTCAGCCTTCATCGAAACATTAGCATGTTTAATGAGTGTTTCAGATCTCTTGACTTTCTGTTCCTTGTGTGACTTGGCCCCTAATTACCCTGTTGTTTACCTGTGTTCTCTTTACCAGTAAACCACTTCATTGAATTTAGCACGAAATGATGACTTACAGATATTTCTGCAGAAAGGGATTCCAATACCCTGCGAGGAAGATTGCGGGGGTGATTGCTAAGGGTCAAAAGAACACATCATGTGTAAAGTACTTCCACATGCTTAGCAGTTTTATGGGAAAGTCAGATCATTTGTGGTGCAATGTCATCTGCCAGTGTTGGTCTACTGTGTTTTATCAAGTCCGAAGTTTACACACCCTGTGGCTTACCAGGAGGTTTTTGAGCACAGCCGGGGAGATGCACCTTTACAGTATTTCTGTCTGACTGTCAGCTTCCCTGTCCATTATTTTACTACAGAAAAAACAAACAAAAAGTAGATCGTTTCATTGTGACTCTTCTATTGTGCTCAACACTCATAAGGCAGAGTGGTAGTACCATGTTAAAGCCAGATGATGGCAACAGAGATGAAATGACTCAGTATGTAACTTTAAAGGTCTTTACAAACTGGTGAATTTGCGGAGTGAAGCGAAAAAGCGAGACGAAAATGTGAAAATATTCACCAGTCCGAAAAATCGCTCTCGCCTGTACACACCGGGTGCGAAGTGAATATGCGTATAAATTTTGCAAAGCGAAGTTCTACCCCCCCGAAATTCCGCCAGTATTTTAGAATGTCCTTCGGGCAGTTTAACGACCTCCTCCAGCAGCTGACCCCACGGCTGGAGAAGCAGACAACTAACTACAGAGAGCCAATTGGTCCAGAGGAGCGGCTAGCCACATGTCTGAAGTAAGATTAAAATAATAGGCAATATTGTATATGAATGAGACAAAGTCCCGTTTTCTTGAAAGCTCCGGGCCCCCAGCCCCGTTATAATGTATATAAGCACATAATAGCTCATCTATAGCTCACTTGTCTCCAAGAGGAGCTGGATGGGTTTGCCATAGCGTGCTTGATGAATGAATATCATCAACAACATGACTTTTGATTGGCCAGAGGTCTAGCAGTTCCAGATATTCGCCTGCGAATCTCCGAAGAATTCGACACAAGAGCGAAAAAATAAAAGACGCTTTTCGCCCTGCGGAAAAATCGGCGCCGGTGTGGAAGCTTGCATTGACTTTATGCTGTTTTTTAAAAAGGCGGATAAAGGCGAATAATTCGCCTGGCGAATTCGCGCCTGGTGTGTCAGGACCTTTAGCCTGTTTATCTCATTGCAGTGAGAAAAGAGAATGAGATAAAAAAAAAACCCTGAAAATGATACAGGGCCTCAGGGCAGCTCAGTCATAGATTAGAACAGAAAAAGGTTTTATGGTTATTTTTGCAGGAAAGTTGCTAAAATGGCTATAACAATAATAATAATAATAATAATAATAATAATAATAATAAACTTTATTTGTATAGCACCTTTCTAGGACAATTGTCAACTGTCACAAAGTGCTTCACAGTCATCAAATTAAAAAGGGTGAGACAACAAGACATAAACATCAACAAAAAGTACATTAGTAGCCAAAGTCCTGGTCATACAAAGGCAACTGTAAATAAATGGGGTTTCTACCACTTTTTGAGAGTATCCACAGTGTCCACAGTTCGTAGTTCTCGAGGGAGAGATATCCAAAGTTTCAGAGCACAAATCTCAAATGCACAGTCTCCTTTAGTTTGTAATCTGGTCCGGGGGACAACCAGCAAACCCTGATCAAAGGATCTTAGAGTCCTGCTGGAGCTGTAAGACTTTATCAGGTCTCTGATTTAAGCTTTAACATTGTAGTTGCAGTGTAGAAGCTCCTGGCTTCTTGTAATAGTTTCACACTAATTTTTTTATGATTGCAGATGTAAGGGGTAGTTTTCGGTAAAGCCAAATTTGATGTGTTATTAGCACATCTGTGAGAAGTTTGTGGCTGCTTTTGAAACAGTATGACTTAGCAAAATCTGAGAGCAGATGGGTCAAGTCTGCAACCCCCAATACCAAATAAATATGTGCAATGTTTTTTACATGAGCCTTGAATTTCAAGTGACACGTGACAGCATGCCTCTAACAGTGTTCCTTCTTGCATCCTCACTCCTTCACATTCCTTTCTACCTCTTTGTGCACCACCTTTTTATGAACTATGCTAATGCTCAGTCTCCTATTGTTACAGCAAACAAAGTTTCTTTTGTACATACCACACCGATTAAGACTCACTCTGAGTCAGTGGCATCGTTTGAGTGTAGAGCCTGTCCTACTATTCTTGAAAGGCTGGGTTCCAAGTTCATACCATTTACTGGAAGAAACATTTCATCTTGACGCCATCCCAAAAAGATTTCTGAAACTTTGTCATGCCAGTAAATGTTGCCGCCCTGCACAATGACAGGCTGGCTCCATGTTTTTATCATTTTTAATCAGTTAAATCAGTCCAGGGCCAAGATTGTCAACTGGCCTGCATGACTTTCACTCAGTGGGTGAAATCCAGCAAACCTTAATGACTTTCTCTTGAAGTTTCTATTTGAAGTCAAGTCAAGTCAAGTCAAGTTTATTTGTATAGCACATTTCAGCAGCAGGGCAATTCAAGGTGCTTTACATGAAACAAGCAGGCAAAACATTCAACACAATTTAAAAAGTAAAAACAGCGTAAAAGACATTTAACAGATTAAAAGTTACATTCAAAGCTAAAATAAGAAGGAAGGATTTGAAGGATCCATGTGCTGACCTTGATAACTGTTGCAATTACCTCAACCAATAACACAAAGAAAATAGCAACACTTACCCAAATTCTAAACAGGAATGAGCAGTTTGTGTTGGGCCTTAAGTGCAGCTTTCATCTTTCATCTTCATGCTGCGGGAAAAGGAAGTTTATTTCGTCTCATGCATCTCCCAGAATGCACTGAGAGAACCCATGCCAAGCTACAAACAGTCATGTGCTTAAATCTCAAGACAGCTGCCTATTTACAGACTCTACAAAGATAGTTGCAGCAACATTTGCATTCATATATCAATATGACCATTAATTTAAGGTATTGTCTGTCACATTAAGCTAAACAGACTTGGTAGAACTTAGATATATTATTTATAAATATGATTAATTTTGTGTATAATCAGTAAAATTTTAATTTCAGTTTGATTTATTTAGACTTTCAGAGCTTCTCAAAAACTGGGTTGGTGTCAGGAACATTGCACTTAGTTGGTTTCATTCTCATCTCTTAGTACTAACCGTTGCAGTCACCACAAGTAATCACTCATTAACTGTGGTATACCGCAGGGTTCAGTTTTAGATCCTATTTTATATTCTATTTATGTGCCTCCCTTTGGCCGAATTGTTTGCTTTGCAGATGATACACAGATGTATCTTCTCTTGAGACCTGGGGAGCCATATCCTCAGGTAGCACCCTACCAGATGTTCCAAAGTTCAGACTCTAAACGAACCATCAGGGTCCTTTGCATCTGAAACAACCTACCTGAGGAGATAACGTTCACAGAAATCATTCACATCTTTTAAATCTCTTCTTGAGACCAGTTTTTATAGGTTTTCTTTCATGTGATGCTGTCCTGTTATTGCCTTTATCACCTTTTACCTCTTTGGTTATTTTAAACTTCAAATTAATTTCATTTTAAGACTTTGGTATCTTTCTCTTGCTTCCATCTCCTTCCTTTCTTACTTTGCTTCATTGGACCTCTTGGTCTCAGATCCTATTCCTTGTTCTTGTGCTGCTTGGGCTCTTATATCTCATATTGTTGGGTTCATGTGTGGCTAAGGATGATCTAGCTCATAAATGCAATATTAGTCCTGAACTGTGCCTTCACTGTTAATGTTGTGCAGCCATAATGCAAGGTTTGGCATTTTGGTATCATGCCAACACCTGAATATTTGCATCATTAATTCAAGCTTAATTCAGAGCTCATGACCTTCTTTCCTCTGTTTGCAAGTGACTTGTTGGATTAAACTGCTTGTTAATCTGGGCAAACGCCTTGCCTGTTGGTTTTATCTTTTGTAAACTCCTTTCAGAGTGAAATACTTAATGCATGAATTTTACTGTCGCCCTTTCTTCTCTACATGCAAGTGACTCATCATACCTCTACAGTCAAAGCAGGAGTGACAGGTTAACGGGTTGACCTGATGCTCTTTTCTTCCCCCATTTGATTAAAGAAGAGACAAACAAGTCTATTCATCTGTTATTTACTCTGTTTTTACTCTGTTTTGACCTGGGAGATTAGAGAGCTGGAGCGAGACCCAGGTGTCATCAGGGGAGGGGCAGGGTGCACCCATTGGCAGATAAGCAGTCTATCACAGGGCTGATATTGAGTATACAAAAAGTTCCAGACACACTCATCCAAAAGAACTACACAGCATGTGGGAGGCAGCGGGAGTATCCGAAGGGAATTCACACATGCATGAAGAGGACATGCAAACTGGGCACAGAAAGGCTCCTGCCCAAAGAGTGAGCCAGGAACCGTAAAACTGTCAGGCGATGACACCTCTGCACCATTGCATGAAAAAGTAAAACTATATTAGCCCTTTGCATTGGCATACAGTATTCCTGACAATGTTGCATTTTCCTCCTTTTTCAACACTTTTTGTGTTTCAAAATAACCTGATTTCTCATTAACACTTCTACACATACACTGTGGTGTACGCCCAGGATATGTTGTAAAGCTCTGACTTTTAGAATATGAAGCCAAAAAACAATCCAACTAAAATCCAATCATGTCAGCTATCATGCTCAGGGTTGAGAACTCTGTAATTGATATTATTGTGTTATTTCTGCACTCCAAGTAGTAAACCTTGATATCTGACAAACTGTGGTTTAACAGTTCTCTAGAGTTGATAAGCAGCCATAAAAAAATAATTGAATTGTATGGGAGAAGTTGCTGGAGAGTGTTGGTCCCATGAAAAGGGATCCTCTTACGCTTGGCTACTTTTAACCCTCCAGAAATAATGGTGGATAATTTCACCTCACATAAAATGCACTGTGTTTATAAGGCGTTATCAGGCTCAGTTTTAAAGCTAGCACAAAGTCGTTTATATCATTTCAACCACAACCGAATCCAATGATATAGCTTAGCAAAGTTAGTAGTTATTCAGTAGGTAGTAAGTCCCACTTTCCCCCCAACACAGACCCTCTTGGAGGAGATACATACTGGCCGTCACTGAAATAGATGGACAAATCAAAGTCATAGAGAAATATAGGCCAAAGGTGGTAATGATCTGGTTTAGTCTAACACAGCAGTACCTTTAGCTGCCCCCACGGGAACTACAGTGTTGATCTAATGATAGACACAGCTCAAAGGACAGCTGTAGCACGGTGAGATCCACATGACTACAGGTACTGACTCATGCTTTGAAAATAGTTATTTACCAGGTATCTGTCTAAAGAACATCAGGAATGTCATCTGTTCAGGAAGAGATTAGCCTGCATTTTCCCTATTCTTTATAGCTTCGCTTACCTTCCTTCTCACGCCTTGCTTTCTCATGCTCTGTTTATTTAATGGCCTCTGTGCTGTAAGTGCTTGAGGCGTCTCAGATTTCTTTGTATTTTGGAAATTGTGCAAATAAATTGTTAAGTGAGTGAGAATACCTCTTTGAAGGGACTTGAAGCCCTCCGGTTCAGTGCCTTGAGTCTCTTTTTGAAGAACAGGGTTCAAATGGGTCTAATTGCAGACCTACCACAGTTAGACAAGGTTAAGGTAATTTCATTTTAAATGGGTCATTTATTCAGACAACACAGCCACTCTGGCACTTCTCTCAGACAACCAATCCACCCTAGACTATCACAATACAGCGACTCGTTTTACCAAGTTGTGCACAGACAATCATCCCCAAATCAATGTCAATAAAACAAAGGAACTTTAATATGCTTATTGTAACCAACCAGGCCACACTCACACGTATTACAAACACCGCTAAAATCACCAGTCTCCCCACACCCAGCCTCACAGAAGCAAAGAACAAGTCCATCACTTGCATACCTACTTGCATGCTACCCTCAGGGCGCAGATACAAAACCATCAAGTCCAGGAGGACTCGGCTGGGGAAAAGCCTGATCCCTGCAGCCATAGTCACCCTGAACAGCAGGCCCAGCTGATCTGTCTGTCCGCTATTGTGTTGTCATTTAAGTTTGTCATCATTGTTGTGTATGCCATTTATTGTTGGTGTGTATGTAGTGTCCGTTGTTGTGTGTGATGTGCAATGTACTGTCAGCGAAGACAAATCTCTCTAAGGGACAAATAAATCAAATCAATCAATCATATCTATCAGAAGTTAGCCACAGAGAAGACCAGCTTTGTCGGGCGGGGAAATCTCCCTGCATGTTGTGTGGAAGGTTCCCAACCGTTCTGTCTGTTGTGTGTTGCTTCCTTATATAGGAACTTAAGGAGACTGAGCTGCAACATCTTCATGCACAACACCTCCAAGCGTTCCATGCAAGCGGTGGCGGACTGGTACTAAAAAACAGCCCTAGACTTTGACTCGGCCCGGCCCCAGCCCACAACAACGGATGCGTGAAAACTCATCAGATACAGACACGGGTCTCAGAATACTTAAATCTAAACCCATGAGTTTTTACCTTCCAAATAACTGCATTATCACTGATGTTGACTAAAAGTTGTGTTAAGAGCACAGTGTAGAATACTCAGTGAGAAATAAACACCACTCTTTAAATGGTATGAGTTTTGATAAATCACAATTTAAAGAGGCTGTGATTATACAGTTAACATAGATACTCACTGAGAAATAAACAACACACTCTTCAAATGTCTCTCAATGAACAATACAATGGTGGCTGCCTTAAACTGTGCTACTAATGATCTGTGGCATCTTAACAGCTCATGGGCTGTTGGTAGTCGTCACTGGCACATACTGGATAAGCACAGCTGTCTCATCCCCTCAGCGGCTCAGATACTGTGAGTCACATCCTCAATCACTTGTTGCAGAGAATTTAACCAGGGAGTTTAAATGTCAAACTGACAACAGAATAAGCCCTAGAGAGTTTTCCTGTTTGAATGATCATCAATGAAAATGTTCATTATTCACCTCCAGTTAAAAAACTGCTGGGCAAACATTTTAGCAAAAATAGTTTTTGGTGTTTAAGGGCGCGTTCACACCACCCTCGTTTAGTCCGGTTAAACCGAACCCTGGAGCGTTTACCCCCTTGGTGCGGTTCATTTGGGTCAGTGTGAATGCTGACCTCAAACTCTGGTGCGGACCAAATAAACAAACTCTGGTCCCCTGAAGAGGTGGTCTTGGACTGCTGTCAACTGAACTCTGGAGCGGTTCATTTCTCCATTTCTGGTGTGAACGTCATCCACACCAATCACAGAAAACGCACCTAGGCTAGGCTATTTGTAATACTGGTTTTAAAATAAATGTTGTCCGCTCTCCTCACTTGTCCCGATTGACACCAGAGAGAAAACGCATTGTGGTAGACTCTCATTAATGCCTGTCGCCATCTCGTCTGTATCCATCTGTTGTTTGCAGCATTCCTACTCCGGAATGAATTAATGAATGCCGCAGTTCGCGCTCACAGGCTAACGAGGCGTTCATACGCGCGATCGGCTAGTGTCTTTTGATACGCACTCCAAATGAGTAGTAAAAGCAAAATCAGCCTTTGATGCTCCATGACAGGCGAAGACAGCAGAGCGGGGTTTATATTCCCGCATAAACTAATCACCAATAAACGAATGATATTTGCGATCATGTGACTTCCGGTTTCGTTTTCTAGAGCGATTGAGTTTGTCTTTTGTGAACACAAACCGGACCAGTTAAACAATCAAAACAAATGTATCGTCTTGCCTTGGATTCGAATCAGGAAACGGACCTTTGGTTCTGAGGCATGTTTACTGGCAAATATTTCTGTCAGCTTCCGACATTTGGATGCTTTGCTCTCTTACTATTTATTTTTCTCTCACCTTCTCAGCCCCACCCTTTTCTTTCCTCTTTTTTAGAATTAACAACACCAGCAGTATCCATGGCCTCTAGTTTCGCCCATCTGCACTTCCATTCGGCTGAGTGATGAGTGGGCTTCTAATCTGTGAGTCCGCAGGCGCATTGTCGCAACCCATTGGTCTAGTAGATTATAAGCAAAAGAAAAAAGAAAAAACTGTGATGGCTGCACAGCGGCCGGCGGCGGTCCTGCAGCACTGGACATTCTGATATTCTCCAGAACATCCAGATGGCCAATCCGCCCCTGCACGCAGGTGTTGACACACTGAGCTTACGGCTGGTGGTTCAACAGTGGGATGTGCTGCAAGGAAGCCAGATAGTAAAATAAACCTTGTCAGATGAAGAAAGGAAAAAAACATTTAACAAATGGCATAGAGCTGTAAAAGCGACATACTGTTAGTCTCTTGCTTACATGTTTTGCCAACCATTTTGACACGTAACACATCAACCAAAAGACGACCCGATAGTAACAGGCTGAAAAGGATATTTACCACCTCTGGAACAGAAGTGGACATGCTTCTGTCAATTATTAGATTTTTGCATAGTCGTGCATGTGAACTGGAATAAGGACATCTGTCCAGATCAGTGGCGGCTGCTGGTCTTTCAAGGAGGGGAAGCTCATTTTTCTGGCCTACATCATAATTGTATTTGTTTATTAGTATGTAACAGAACAGAGTCGCCAAACACAACGGCAGTCGTTTTTAACAAAGACAAAAGTCGCTGAGGATCGGTAAAGTCTCCGGAGCAGTTAAGAACAACGGAATGAATAACTTGGAAAATGCTCTGGTAGATGTTTTATTCTTCAAGATCGCTGATTCGCTTGTTTAGCTGTCAATCAAAAAAGGATTTCGCCTCAGACAGCTCATCCAATCATGGATGCAGAAGCGCGGAGTCCGGGAGAAAGTCGGGACTGCCCTCTCGCCATAGAACTCCAGTGAAGCTGGGCTTCCATTGGGCGGGACAAAGCCCAGCATTTATCCAATGAGCGTCTAGTTTCGCTGCTGGAACAACCCACTTTGAGCCTCCACATTGAAGTCAGCAGAAGCCCAGCGTCCGACTGTTTGAAGCGCTGAGGCGCTGCGAGGATGAATGAGAACGAAGTTATGCCGGTTACCTGTGATTATCAGCTTCTTATCACAGTGTCTGAACAAAAGATGAAGGCTTTCTAGTGCGTATTTAGTTAATGAAATGTACACACAGCCGTACGTATTTCACCACTTTTTCTTTTTTTTGGGGGGTGACATTTTAAGGGAAGCCGAGCTTCCCTTGCAGTCTTAGAGCAATCGCCACTGGTCCAGATCCTGATCAAGCCATGGCTGTAGCTCAACTTAACTGCGCATGTGGACGTACTGAATGAATACAAGCAAATTTTTCAGGGGCCATGAAAACATGTTTGGTCATCCAGCACCATCAATCGCTTAGTTTACGCTCTATCTAACCGTGTTTACTTTATCTTTACATGCAATCTACTGCTGCCCACAGTTTCATTCATGTTAGGTGTGAACACAAATATTTGTTCTGTGTTTCTTCCAGCCTTTGCTCCAGGTTTGTCAATGTCAGAACACTGATTTGTTCAATAGAGGAACCTCAGTTATAACTGCTACAAAAGGTTTTCTTCTGGTACAGAAAAGCCACACTCCAACTGATGTTTGACATATATTTATTTTCTTCTCTTCAATGGCAAACACCGTGAAAAACTAAGTTAAATACAAAGACACAAGAATTGCCCTGCAAAAACATTCACATTTCCAATAGCCTCAGGTGGACTTGAGTACATTGTCTCATGAAGCTGTAATATTTTATTTAGCACAGACTTGTTCTGTTTAGGGGAAGAGGTGTTACTTCCCGGAGCTCGAGTGTGTTTTGTCATAGATCCAAGGAGTCTGCCCAAAGTTATACTATTAATTTCTGTCAATCTTTCATAGGGTAAGTAATACAAATCAAGTTTTTACATGTAATTGAATGCTATCAGCTGGGGGGGGGGGTTCTCATTTCTGGGAAATGAGAGTTGAGTCTAGTCTCAACAGTTTAGCTGTTTCTCTCTTTTTTTTCTTTGTGCTTGTTTACTTTCTTAGGATCCCCCATAGACTGTATATAGAATGGACGCCCTCTGCCTCCTTGCTGGGTGAAGCCACTCCGAGAGCAGCACCCACTGTTGATGGGCTGCAGTAAAGGTAATAAATCCCACCTCCGCCAGCAATCCTTTTGGAGCTGTGGACGAACTTTAGAAATTTATTTCACGGAATATAAATTTTTCTCCCCCCTGCTTGTGATGTTGAAATGTAGTTACTGTAAGACTGGTTTGTGCTCAAATCCTCTTTTTTCTGTGAAGCTCCATTTTTAAAATTTATTTGGGGGTTCATGTTTTCTTTGATTGACACCTGATACAGCCTCTGGGCGCACAGGGATTGCGTAGTGTCATCACAGCGACGCTTGGCAACTCTCTCGCCGAATGCGCACAATGCTACTGCGCAGCGCTGGTTTCAGGAAATGAAGAAAAATCCCAGAAATACAGAGAGCTTTTTGGCTTCAAATCCGTATACAGACGGGAGGCGGAACCAAGTTGTCCATAGTATATACAGTCTATGAGATCCCCATTAGCACAGGCATAAGCTTCAGCTAATCCTCCGAGTGTCCAACACATACTTGATAGGACAGCCGAAGACAGACATGAAACGCAGGGAGTAAAGATTGGGGTACCACACACAGCCAAGGGTTGCAGTGGCATACTCAAGAAGTTGGAGGGGCAGGGGCAACAAATTGAAATGGCTCGTAGCCTGGAGGTTAGAGAATCAGTAGCCCAGACATCAACAGCATTGGGCTCATTTAAAAATATGGGCATAAATAATGACAACAGAGTCCAGGGGTCCTCCACCAGGGAGTTATAAACATTCAAATCTAAATTCACCAAAATTTGGTATATGTCTTTGCTGTTGGTTGTGATGGATATTTCATATTTCATAAAACACAAAGTTATGAATGCATGATTGACAAAAAGATGAATACTAATTATTGCATGAAGGTAGTGTTACGCCCCAGTCTAGGGGTGCCTAGGGCACAACATGAGAAGGCCTCATCTTCCCCAAGTCCCAAGTAGCCACAACAACAGAGATTCAGTTAAATTTAAAGACAATGATTTATTTGTATAAATCAGTAAATAACAAAAAGATATAGACAAAAAACTAAGGCTGAAGGACTAGGCTTCAGGGTGGACCAAGGCCAAAACAACAACCAAAATGATCCTGTCTGTGGAGTAAGTCCTTACCTAACCAAAACAAAGGAAACAAATGACAAAGACTTACCTCCCTAACTAAAATACACAGGAGAAAATAAGATTAACAAAACTGGCAGTCCACCCCTACTACTCAAGGAAAACACAACTAAATACACAATGGTCTAATGCTGCAAATAGGGTGGCCAGTTGGGAGAGGAGGAGGATGAGGAACGCCTGGCCTCTGCACATGGTGGATGCCATCTTGGTTCCACATAAAGCAGGTGTCCACCAATCCCTGTCCAGGACGTAGTCCAACCCACCAATGACCGCGTGGCTGTGGCACACACCTGTTTGCATACAAGATTGAAGCAAAAATGCACAGAGCACACACACACAGCAGACACTCAACAAATTATGACCCCAGTCATAACAGTAGTTGCAGTCTAATAAGATTGATGTGTAATGTTTCAGGCGGTAATTAAAACACTGGGAAAGACAAAGGGCCATATTTCACAATTTGTCATTTTAAATTTAGAAATGAGACCTTAAAGGTTATGGTTGTGGATATTATATAAAATAAAAGTGGAAACTGACTTTGGGTTTTGGATCGGACACAAGATGGGACTCCTGGAGGGAAAGAGTTTCACAGACCCTAGGTAACCATGTGGTCCTAACAATCACATTGCACCCTGGCCTTCTTAATCTACAAAACTCTGAAGCTCCATAATTATGTCAGTGGATGATTGCACTGGAACCACAAATCCAAAACGATAAGAAATGACAAATTGTTTCTTCGGGGATGTGGCACTCCCAAGGGGTCTATCTTGGGTCCCTGTTTATTCACCGTGTACATGTTAATCCTGGGTCAAATCCAGCATAGGCAGAGTCAGTCCTTAAAAATAAGACTCGTTGTTGGAAGGAAATAACCTCTCTTGTATTTTAGCTACAGATAACGTTAGTGGTGCCACTTAAGTAGCTCACAGGACTGCATTGTGTCAGCTCCTCTATTATGTGACACAGGTAAGCACTTGCAAATTCTCTGGATTTTTCACAGCATGAACTTGGAAGACTTTCAGTGGTTTATGCAACAAGTTAAGTAATGTCCTTGTTTGTTTTCAAGTACCACGTATTAACTTCTCAGCTGGCTGCAAGTCAGATGTTGTATAATTTTCCGACATAATATTATGCCCTTAAGGGAGCTGTGAACAGGCTTGACAGAAAAGACTGTGAGAGGTACAGGTATGAACTGCTGTAAAGTGACGTTATGATATTTCCTAATTGAAGGTTCAGAGCCATGATTTATAAGTTGAAATGCTTCGAAGTGACTCATTTAACAATCTTGAAAATAAAAATTCAAATTCCATCTTGCTGACTTTCCTACAGGTAAGTTATGAGGTGTTCAAAGAAAGGGGGAAACTACTCACTGTTATTTAACCCAGGTACACATACATCAGAGAGTCTGTAGGTGTCAAATCGGTATGCCACATATGGCTTTGGTTGGCAGAGCTAGCACTGAAAGCTTTTGGTCTTACCTGCACTACCTGTACTGCATATACCAGGGGTGCACACACTTTTTCAGCATGAGAGCTACTTATGAAATAACCAAGTGAACATGATCTACCTACTATAATGCAGAAAACATATTTATTTATAAATATATTAAGAATTCTCTTTATATGTACAATATATGTTGGTGTGCCTTGCATTACTGCATGAATCCATAATTCACAATACAACTCTGTACATTTTTTTGTCATTACCTTACTCTGATGACTTGCAATAAATGGAATAAGCTAAGGACCACCACCTCCCTATCAATCAATGCCACTCGTTAATTCAGGAATGAGTGGAAAGAGAAGGTTTTAAGATGGTTCCACACAAATCACAACCCTCTTTCACCTCTTTCTCTTTCACACGCTGCTTCATTCTGCTCCTAGCTACCCTAACACAAATGTTTACTCCGGTATGACTGTTGGCTTGGTGCTTAGGTTCCTAGAAGTGGAGCTGTGTGGCCCTGCTCTCTGAATGCCCCTGGCCTGTGTTTTATCGAGAGTGAATGAACACAGCACTACAGTCACTTCCTTATTTTGTTTGTTTTATTTCTGTATATTTGAAGATGAAATGCCTCTTGTTACTGAGAGAAAATAACATTTCAATACTGATTGGCCAGGGAGCTGCCACGAAGCCTGAAGGAGATAAAATAGGGGTTTAAATAAGTGTGACCCCCTGAAAAAATGTAATGCCCCCCCTCATTTGTTTCTGCAGCCGGGTCTGTATGCCAGGAATGGTCAGGAGAAAGGACTTGTCCTGATGCCAAGAATAGTTCTGGTGCCGGGAAGGTTGATTGTCCCAATGCCAGGAAAGGTCCTGATGCCAGGAAAATAGTGTACTGTCCCAAAGCTGCATGAGTATTGCCACCTTAGTTGAAGACATTTGTTTCCTACTTGGTTGATATTTTTACTGTGTGTGTGGCAGTGTATCTGACAGTCATAGACTGAAGGAGACTCTGCGTAGAAGCTTCTTGATAGGGTCCTCACTCGAGCACTGTGCCATTCTCTCTCTCCCTGAATAACACATGTAATGTTTACAATGTCGTAGAAACTTGAGGACAAGTGGAGGATTGTAAATCCGTCTCTTTGGGGTCAGTGTAAGCTGAAACAATCGTAAGAGGCAGTAAGAATACAGAAGTGGAAGACAGAAAAGGCAAAAAATGTTTTATACAGACTGCTTTTTTCTTTTCTCTTAAGTGGGGGAGAGAAGTTAAATTCTAGTCTCTGTTCTCTGCACAAATGGAACATCAAATGCCAGTTACGACCTTGACTCCTCCAGAGACACAGCAGCCAAAGAACGAAGAGCCTTATCATGCTTCCACTCCCATGGCCCTCTCTCCATATGCAGAAGCATGTGCTGTGATAAAGGCCCTACAACATAAGGTGCTACAAACAAAGCCTAACACACACACACTTGCACACAGTCTGACAAAACACATAGAACCTGGTGTTCACCTCCCATGATGGGCCCTCTAGTAGTCAAAAGGAATGGCCTAAATACTGCTGAGAAAAGACAAATAGCAGAGTTGTTGTCTGTTACTGAAGCATGTAAACTAGCCAAAGACAAAACTGTGACTAAACTGATTCAGCCTCTGCAATGCAAGTTGTACACATAGACATTTGTCACTGGAGACAGCGACCTCAGCTGGCACCCCTGTTGAGCATTTGAACCAACTGTTGACCTTTATTATGCCTTATTGGAACTAAAACAAGTAGCCATAGTAAAGTACAAAGGACAAAAACAATGGAGCAGCTGTGTCAATATGAGGCCGCAAATCAATAAATGAATAAATAAAAATGACAAAAAATAAAGTAGAGCTGCAGGCGGCCACAAAAAAAAAAAAAGGAAAAAAACAAACAAACAAAATGGCCTGTAAACTCTGATAGAAATAGGCATATTAAACTTAATAATAATAATGATGTTTTCTTTCTTTTTTTAATGACAGCTAGCCTGAATTTATCTAATCTTTTTGGTCATCAGTGGAGTTTCTCGCGATCGTTGACCTGATGAGATGACAGGTCAAATGACAATTGAATGATGGGTAATGCAAGCAGGTCAACAGCACTGAATGTAACAAAATGGATCAAGAAGTGAGAAAACAGCGAGTAGAGAAGGTTGGAGCAGAAAAAAGCGAGAGCAGAAGCACAAGGCTTTGTGGGAAAAGCACAAATATGGTGCAGTTATTCTCTGAAAAGCCTTAGCCCGGCGATGAGCCCTGTGGAGCTCCCAGTTGCTCTGCAGCTGCTGCTAGCATGAGTAACAAAGGTGCGAGATGGCAGATGAGAGTAAGAAAAAGGAGAGGAGTTAGAGGAGGAAGATCTAACACAGACTGTAAGCCAAGAGAATGGATGCTGCCGTCACACCTGCACCTGCTATTGCAGCCACAAGCAAAGAATAAAGATGGATCGCGAAGAAAATGGGTGAGTTATGATGCTGAGAACCACGTATTATTTTGTGCAGTTTGCATGGCAGTTTCTAGAAAGAAAGAAACAAGTGCCTTTATTCAAGGATGTAAGGATTGGAGACACATTTATCAGATGCTCAACAGTCATGAAAACACACATATTCATCTGGAATGTGTGAATGCTTACCTTTCATGGATAAGTAAGGCAGACATCCCTAATCTGCTGGATTTAAATATGATGTCAGCTCGACGAGAACAGGTGTGTAAGAGGCGACAAGTACTAGAGCATGTCATTGATGTAACAAAACTGATCGACAAATGCACACTTAGTTATAGTGGAAGTAAAAATGAGGCAGCTCATTCATTAGCAGACATGTCTGTGAACCATGGGAACTTCCTTGAAATGCTTCTGCTTCTTAGCAAATATGACAGCTGTTTACAGCAGCATATTCAAGACTGCGTCTAAAAGAAGCCAATCAAGCACTGACAAAGGAAGAGGCTCACTAGTGACATTAATGTCCAGAACTACTGTATGTTCAGTTGTGAAGGCTATCCAGCAACTCATCAAGGAAACAATTGCTGAAGTAAGCCAGGCTGGAATGTACACTGTACAGATAGACACAACTCAAGATATAACCTCAAAAGATCAGTGCAGTGTTGTAGTCCGCTATGTAGCAGACAGCGGCATTCAGGAGAAGCTACTTGCAGTTATTGAATGTAAGTCATCAGCAGGAGAGGACTTTCTTAAAGTGCTCAAGGAGACATTGGCAACTTGCAAAATTGATGTGAAGAACTACATTAGAAACTCAACAGAGGGGGGCTGCAAGTATGCGAGGGCGATCAAGGGTTTTCTGGCTGGCACGTATGGTGTTATGCCCATGTTCTAAACCTGGTTATGTCTGAAACCACAGGTGTTGTGATAACAG